ACAGAAGAACTCAGGAACAGCTCCCAGGCCCAGAGTTCAAGCCCCACGACTGACCAAAAAAAAAAAAAAAGAAAGAAAGGATTGGGGGCATGTCTCAAGTGCTTAGCAAGTGCGAGATACTGAGTTCACCAATACCACCAGAGACAGACAGACAGGCAGGCAGGCAGATAGAGAAGGAAGAAAGCAGAAACACAGTAGAATCAGACTCCAGCTTAGCTCTTGAAAGCTGTATGCTCTTTTTTAGATGGAGGGCTGTCCTCCACTCAATCCCTTGAGTGTCTAGAATTAAAGGCAGGAGCCATCCATGCCTGTCCTCCTTCATTATTTGAAAAATGATACACGTTTTTCGAGGTAGTTAAGAGGATTCATTGAGACAAAGCCAAGAAGTCCAGAACTTAATAAATGTTCAGTGGGTGTAAACTACATGTGAACCAAAATCCCTCTTGAAGAGGCTTGAGGTCTAGCTCAGTGACAGTGCACTCACTTGCCTAACGTGTGCATGGCCCTGAGTTCAATCCTAGCATTACAGAAATAAAATGCCTCTTAGCATAAGCGTCTTTACTGAACAAATGAAGTCGAATGCCTGGTCCAATGCCAGATGACCAAAGGAGGAGCCTTCAGGGCCTTGGGCCGGGTTATCCTGAGGCTGTCTAGGGAGAACCATCCAGAACAATGAGAGATGAAATTCAGTCCCCCATGGGTTAGCCCAACATTCACCAGAGCATTTAAAAAAAGGTGAAACACAGTTATAGTGACAGACTAATAATGGGATTATTGATTTAAGCACAGACCCTTTCTCTTCCCCATATTTCCTAGTCCCTCCCCTCAAAAAAAAAAAAAAAACAACATTGTTGTCAGTTGCTAGGTGGAGACTTGGGAAGAGAGAAGCTGGGAAGAATGATTCAGCTGCTGTTGGAGCTAAAAATGACCAAAAATGAAGCAAGTAAGAGAAATGGTATCCTCTTCCTCCTGTTCTCCTTCCCCAACTTTACTGTCTTATTTGTAACAAGGGGACAACTCCTGATCTCTCAGAGAAGTTGAGTGGATTAAATGTGATAAAGAACCTGGTAGTCATTAATAAGAGTATTAAGGGTCTGAGCATAGTGATACATACCTGTAATCCCAGCATTTTGAGAGGCAGCCTAGTTACATAACTCTTAGCAGGATCTTACAGTTTCCAGCACTGCAGATTTCTAATCTTCATGACCATTTAGAGGGACTGCTACTATCATTGTCCCCATTTTATAGAGGAGTGAGGAAACTGAGGCTGGACAGCTTGCCCCAAGTTACCAAGCAATTGCTAGAGAAGGGACCTGAAGCTGAACCTCTAACCTCTGTGCTGATTCTGGGGCTCAGGATCTGCTCGCAGCTCTGGTGCAGGCTGTTTGAGAAGCCATCAAAGCTGAGGGAGAAGTTAAACAATGGGCTCAAAGCAGAGTCAGGATTTGGATCCAGTGTGAGCAAGCCTAATGCCTCTGAAAAGGGTAGACTTTACTTCTTCCCAGCCCAAACTTTGGGGGTCATCTTCCCTTAGGGCTCCCATACTGCACACATATCTTGAGTCTGGATCCAGACCCAGCTGTGCAGCTGAGGAGCAGGAACAAGTACTGTGCACAGTCAAGGCAGCACCAAGCCCCACCCTCATGGCCAGGAGTAAGCCAAGACCAGGCATCCAGGTCCCAGGGTAGCACCAGTGTTAGACCCTCCCTCCACCCACAGCCTCTGGCAAGGGGGTGGGCCCCCACTCCCCTAGGGCAGAGTCATGACTGTCTCCTTGGGACGGACCTGGCAGCTTCACTCACATGGGGATCGGTCATGAGATTTTTCATCCTCATCTCCTGCAAGAGCTGAGTTCATCACTCACACACTGGTTGCCATCACTCACGCCCTTGCCCATCGGCTGGCATCTGGCTCATCGTGGTTGCCTCACGATCAGTCATCAACATGACAGATGCCATTAACATAACATCCCCCATCCATCGTCCCTGGGTAAGCTGGCACGGAGCGAGGGTTGGAGTCAAAAGAGAGCAGCTGTGACATCAAACAGTTCAGGTCAGCTCTGCTGCTCACTTGCCGGGCAACTTTTCTTCTCTTGGATTTGTCTGCCCAGGCTAGCTTTGAACTGTGATCCTCAGATTTCAGCTTCCTGAGTAGCTGGGATTATAGGCATGAGCCACCAGCACCTGGCTTGTGAGATTCTTATCCTCAATTAACCACTAAAAAGCTGGACGTAGAGGTGTGGTTCAAATGGCAGAGCAACCAGTCTTAATTGAAAATGCTAAGGGACAGTGCCCAGGCCCTGAGTTCAAACCCCAGTGGGTACATCACACACACACACACACACACACACACACACACACACACACACACACACACATACACACCAAGGAGAAATTCTGGCAGGTAAGGACAGCGTTGCTGTCTCCAGGGCCCTGTTTACATTGTTGCTGTGTGAGTGGAACCACAGAACTCAGTTCCAGAGAATACAACGTGAAGGGTGCCTTGAGATTGCAGATCCCTGCACCTGCACCTGGGAAGAGAGACTTGTTGAGCCAGCTTTCATGTAGAAGTGAGGTGCTAATGAATGGGACTGTTGGGAGGACCAGAAGGCATGTCATTCAAACAAGAATGGCCACACTTACTTCTCCCCGTAATGCCTGCCTTGTGAGATGCCCTGGTTAAATCCTGCTCTCACATCCACCATACCTGAGCTGGTAAGAGGCATAGAGACCCCCCCCATCATAGCCCTGTTAACAAGAACTAAGTTCCACACTCTGTAGGGTCTCTTTTACTTCTCAGTCTGGCCTGATGGCAGCCACAGAGAATGCCAGACACCTTGGTAATGGACCAGGGATAGAGACTTTCCTTCTAGTTAGGGGTTTGCAGCTGACTGGCCAGAAAGTTCTGAATGGATTCTCTTTCTAACCTGATTTGTTCATTGCTGCCCAAAGCCACTGAGCCTGTGTCTCTGTCTCCCCTCAAAGGGTGTCTTTGATTGAAAAAAATATTGACTAAAACCTGCTGTCTGCTAGGCACAGTGGAAAAAGGATTCCCAAGATAGATCCAACTCTTCCCATATCAGTTCCCAGGAGGACTAGTTGAGATGCAAGGTACAAGGGTACTGGGGTTCGGGGCCGCTCTCCTTTGCTCTGTCTGGACCCTCAAGCGGGAACAATGTGGAGAAACAAGCACTCCGTGAAACATTTTCAGAACTTAGGAGTCACTTTCCTGGTGGAGGTCCCACCCTGCACTAAGTAGTGTCCAGTTGCTTCTGGCTGCTTTTTTTCCCCTTTTTTCTTTTTTTGCCAGTCCTGGGGCTTGAACTCAGGGCCTGGGCACTGTCCCTCAGCTCTTCAGCTCAAGGCTAGCACTCTACCACTTAAGCCACAGCACCACTTCTGGTTTTCTAGTGGCTCATTGGAAATAAGAGTCTCACAGACTTTCCAGCCCAGGCTGGCTTTGAACCGAGATCCTCAGATCTCAGCCTCCTAAGCAGCTAGGATTACAGGCTTGAGCCACCAGCACCCAGCGACTTCTGGCTTATTTTGTGTATGTGGTACTGAGGAATGGAACCCAGGGCTTCATACATGCTAGGCCAGCACTCTGCCACTAAGCCACATTCCCAGCCCGCTGGCTGCTTTTCAGCTGGCCCCACTGTATCTTTCCTTCTCTAACAGGAAGGACAGTCAGTGATCAAAGGGTCCCCATCACATGGGGAAAGTGACTCATACCCCTCCCTCCTCCTTTTCTCTCCACAGCAAGCCCCCAGCCTCTTTATTCCATTTTCTCAATAAACTCTGAAATCCCTTTACTGTGGAACCTTAGGGCCTACCCATTCGGTGTTCAATTCACATTACTTGAATAATTGGATGGCAACATAAATAGTGTTCTTCGGTGAAAGCTGAGCACACCTCATATTTACTCTAGCAAGATGTTGGGAAGTCCAAGGCTGGCAATGTATGGTGATATAGGCTTGTAGTTCCAGCACTAGAGGTTGACAAGCAGGATGGTGGTGGGTTTGATACCAACCTGGACTACCTAGTGAGAGTCTGAGCCATAACACCCCCCCCCCCAAAAAAAAAAAAAAAAAACAAGGAGGAGGAGGAGAGAAGGAAAAGAGGTCATGGGGCTTTATTTCTGATCATGTATTCATTGGTTGAGCTACTGTTTGTTTGTTTGCTTTTTTTTAATTGTTGCTGGTACCAGGGCTTGAACACAGAACTTTGTGATCTGGTTTGACTTTCTCTCCCTCAAGGCTGGTGCTCTAGCCACTTGAACCACTCCTCACTGCTGATGAGTTGGAGATAAAAGTCTCACAGACTTTTTCTGCTCAGGCTGGCTTTGACTTTGAACAGAGATCCTCAGATCTCGGCCTCCGCAGTAGCTAGGATTACAGGTAGCAATGCTTGGATTGGTTGGGCTAGTTTTTATTAAGCAGATCGACTGAACTGAGCATTGCATTTTGTGCTGGAGAGACATGCCCACTCCCACCTCTGCCTCTTTGGCCCTTTTACTCTATCCCTACAGCCACCACAAACACTGCTCAGGGCCCTCCCGTTTCCCTTGCTCCCTCTATACAGATCCTGTAGGTAGGCCTCTTTGAAACTGCTAACCAGTGTAAGAGTTATGGGAGGGAGGAGATCTCTCTCATTCTCTAGCCTCCCCTCTTAGCCCATGGTCCCACCCCAGGGACCCTTCTGGGCCAATCCAGGGACAGGGTCAGGTGAGGCCCTATCCATTTTGCCTCCTAGAACAAACCTGGAACCTGGTTGTTTCGCCTGCGCCCGGGGAGGGGTCCCGGCTCCAGGGCGTCCTGCAGAGAGAGGCCAGTGGCGCGGGTCCCGCAGCGCCCAGGCCCCTCCGCGCTGCCTGCGGCCGGCCGAGCTGCCAGCTTTTTTGGAATTCCTAATCGCTCCTGGCCCCGGTGATTGGCTGTTCGGCTCTGACCCCACTTGGGCTGCCGCCTGGTTGGATAAAAAGGGAATCTCCTTGGGGCTCCAGAGCTTTAGACACCGGAGGGGGCACCTGGGACCAACTTCTCGGAGCGGGGAGCCCGGCGGGGGGGTGGGGGAGCCAGAGACCTGCGGCCTCAGCCCCTCCGAAGAACCGGGAGATGACGGGCAAAGCGGGAGAAGCGCTGAGCAAGCCCAAGTCCGAGACAGTGGCCAAGAGCACCTCGGGGGGCGCCCCGGCCAGGTGCACGGGGTTCGGCATCCAGGAGATCCTGGGCTTGAACAAGGAGCCCCCCAGCTCCCATCCGCGGGCCGCCCTCGACGGCCTGGCCCCTGGGCACTTGCTGGCAGCGCGCTCGGTGCTCAGCCCCGCAGGAGTGGGCGGCATGGGGCTGCTGGGGCCCGGGGGGCTCCCCGGCTTCTACGCGCAGCCCACCTTTCTGGAAGTGCTGTCCGACCCGCAAAGCGTCCACCTGCAGCCGCTGGGCAGAGCATCGGGGCCGCTGGACGCCAACCAGACGGCCAGCTCGGGTAAGGTGAGGGCGAGGCAGCTGGGCTGCGGGGCGCGCGCGCGGGGAGCCCCCACGCCTGTCGGCTCTCGCCACCCCCGGGAGGAAAAGTTAGTGCAGGCCAAGGGTCAGCCAGCAGATCTGGGTGCGGGACCCGGGATCGCACCGCTGCTGCTCGGTTCCACGAGCCGGCGGCGTGCGGCCCGGCTCTTTGGCCGAGGCGCCCGGGGGTGGGGGTGGGGGGGCTTCCCTCTGCTTGCCAGGCTCGGGGCGTCCGAGACCTGACAGGGGGTGTCATGCAGGCTGGAGGATCCCCGACTTCACTTGCTCCCCCCACTCCCCGGCCTCAGCGTTCTGCACGCGGGTGCCTCAGGAAGCGGGTGTCGATGCTGGCCCCGCGCTCCGTGTTTAACTTTGGACACACCGCTGCATTGCTCAGCTGGGGTTCATTTTCACCCCATGATCTCGGGGGCGGGGGGGAGAATAGGCCGCCACTCGAGCCTACAAAGAGCCTTAATATATTGGGCCGGATCGGATCTTTCCAGGGTTCGGGGACCCTGGCTGACTTTGCGGCCCCCAGCCGGGACCACTTTCCGCGGCAGTGCGTCGGTCTGGGGCCCGCTCGGCCCGCCGGCCCTGTGCGCTCCCGGCATTTCCCCTACTTTTGGTTTCTTCTTCATCATCATTATCGTTGTCGTCGTCATCATCATCATCAATTATTGTTATATTGGTTTAGAAGGGCAACTGGCCCATCACAGCCTCTCCGACCTCGGGCGGGACTCATTGGGGGTGCTCCACGACAGGGTCATCGACCGGGCTGCTCCCATGCCTGTCCACAGCCCATCTCCCGGCGACCCTGGGCCAGCCCTCGGACCTGAGACTCAGAGCTCCGGGGCAGGACGGCTGCGGGGTTCCTGAGACGCCAGGGGTCTCCCACCACCCCGCGCCTCCGAGCGCGCCCGGGCCTTGGCCTCTCTTGCAACGAAATCTGTTATAAGCGTGCGGATCCCCGCGCTGCCGCGGGTGGGGCGGCCCAGGCCGCCGGGGTTCCGGGGGCTGGGGGCTTCCGGGGAGACTGCAGGCCCGTGGAGTCACCGAGGCGGGGATCGGTGGGGGCCCCCGCGGGATTTGGAGCGCACGCCCCATCCTCTCGCATGCCCCCCACCCCGGCCCGCTTTTCAGATTCCGAAGATGTTTCTTCCAGTGATCGAAAAATGTCCAAATCGGCTTTAAACCAGACCAAGAAAAGGAAGAAGCGGCGACACCGGTAAGGCCCCCTCCGATGCTGTTGCCACGGATCTCAGGTGTGAGGTCCGGGGCCGCAGCACAGCGCCCCGGGGCGTTGCGTTGTTTGCGGGAATCTGTGTCCGGCGCGGGCGCGCAGCCGCCCCGGGGCGAGGAGGAGGAGGAGGAGGAAGAGGAGGAGGAGGAGGAGGACCGCGGGAGACGGGAAAGGCCGCGATCAGAGGCCTGGGGTGGGGGGCCGTCTCCGGGTCCCTGCTTTAGCACGTGCCAAGAACCAAGCAGACCCCGCGGGCCGCCGGATAGGCTCCGGCCCCAGCCGGTTCCTCAGTTCCCCAAAGCCCGTTCCTCTCGTCCCGGGGTCCCGGCGTCCGGGGTTCTCTCTTTCTGCTCCCAAAGCTTTCCTCCCCACCCCCCTCCCGCCCAGCGGGATCCGAGCTCCTGAAATTATTTCCCCTCGGCTTCTACTCTTTCGTAGCGAATCGCTACCTATCCGCGAGCCTCAGTTTCCTCTTCTGTGAAACGCAGACGGGGGGAGCACCCCAGCTCCATCCAGCTGGGGTGGGGGCTGAATTAGAGACAGTGCCAGGGAGTTGAGGTTAAAGAGGAGCTGTTTGAAATAGAATTAGGGATGACTTGCACAAAGTTAACATTTAAGAGGCCTTGAAAAAGGTGAGGTCTTGAAAAGCCACGGGGGACGGGGGGTCCTCCCAGCACCCCCAGATCTCCATCCGTTCTCCCCCACAGTGCCACTGCAGTCCCCTCGGTGGCAATTCGTGAGGTTTTTAAGACCCGAGGGGAAAGAGAAGCAAAAATCTGCCTGTGATTCTGTGGGTGCGGCCCTGCGCTCCTCCCGTGGGGGGCATCTTTGTGCTTAGGTGGGGGGGGTAGGAGTGGGGGGTGGAGAGTGTGTGGGGGGGGGTGCTTTCTGTCTTCCAGCCCTAACGAATCCTCTTCTAGCTCCCCAAATTGTCCTGCACGCGTTTGCACCCATTCGCTCTGTGATTTTCCAGTGCCCGACTCTTCCTTAGCCCTCAGAAACACAATTGGCCCCCACCTTTACAAACGCCCACCTGGCTTCTCTGGCCCCACAGGGTCCCGCTTGGGTTTGAGGGCCTTTGCTCCTTGCCTTCACACAATTTGTCTGCTTTCGTTCGGTTTGTTTCGTTTCAAATGAAACTTTTTTTCATTAGTCCCGTTCCTGGTCTCTCCCCCCCCCCCCCGCATTCATTTATTCACTGAACAAATGTTCACGAAAATGCCCCTCCCCCTTTTTTGAGCCCCTTTCTCAAACTGGTCCTGGGTGGGTCAGCCTGTCAGCCTCGGGAGCTGGTGACAGTGTTGGAAGAGGTAACAGAGAGCTTTCCCTAGACTAGCATGGAGAACGCTGAGAAAAGCACCCCAAAACTTGGGGTGCTGGAATAGCACCAACTATTTTACTCTGTGCGCTAGAGAGACAGATGACTCCTCCCGTCCCTCAGCTCCCAGTCCAGGCTTGAGGTCCCTTTCCTTTATGCTGCCACGCTGTGAACCCAGGAACGGAGGTGGGGTGGGGGGCTTTGGTGGATGAAGAGGGGACTGGAAAGCAATTCACCACAGCGGGAAGATTTACCACCTTGGGTTTCTGTCCTTTTTTTTCCTGGTGAGTGAAGGGAGCAGATGATTGGAAAGGAGAATGGCTCCTGACTGCTGATCCAGAGGTTTTTCATGAGTAAAAACAGCTGTTTCTCTGGGCTTCTCTCATCTGGAGATTTGAGTATGAAACCCCAGGATCCATAGTGAGAAATGGGGCTTGTTAGCACCCAGTTCAGGGCATCTGGGGGTGCAGTGGGGATGGAGCAGCGATGGTGGCATCCTCTGAGATTTTGCACTGTTCAGAAGCTCAGTTTGAGATGAGATGGCAGGGGCAGGCGCTTGAGAAGTTTGGGGCTCTGCTTCAGCCAGGAGTAGGGGGCCCTTGATGGATGGAGACAGAGCGTATTATTAGCATGCAGGCCACCTCTGTACTGGAAATAGGGGATGTTTGGGAGATCTGAGTTTCCTTTTATAGGTTTTACTGTTTTGGGTTTGGGTTTTCATAGTCGTCTTTCCTCTTCTTCTTCCTCCTCCTCTTCCTCCTCTTCCTCCTCTTCCTCCTCCTCTTCCTCCTCCTCCTCCTCCTCCTCTTCTCCTTCTCCTTCTCCTCCTTCTCCTTCTCCTTCTCCTTCTCCTTCTCCTTCTCCTTCTTCTTCTTCTTCTTCTTCTTCTTCTTCTTCTTCTTCTTCTTCCCTTCCTTCCTTCCTTCCTTCCTTTCTCCTCCTCCTCCTCCTCCTGTTCCTCCTCCTCCTCCCCTTCCCCCTCCTCCCCTTCCCCTCCTCCTCCTCCTTCTTCTTTCCAGCCCTTTACATGGCTCTAAATGACCTTCAATCAGCTCTCTCCTCTTTGACTTTGGCAGGTTATCCTAACCTGTGTGTTTCAGTTTTCCTGGTTTTGAAAATGACTTGTTTGATTTGATTGTTTATTCTGATGAGCAGTTCTGGGGCCCTTCAATAAGAGAGAAATAGAAAGTAAAGCATGTTCACAAACCTGAAGAATTAACTTTTTACGTGCATTAGAATCTCACACATCCTCCTCACGAGAACAGACAGGATTTCGAATCAAGCCAGGTGTTCTTGGTGAAGAGCATGCTCTTTCTTCCCTACACCCTCCCCATTTTATTCCCCCTCCCCCTGAGATGTTAAAGTCCACACCAACAGGCGATCATGAGAACTCACTCACGCTGGCTATGCGGGAAGCACAGCAGTGAGTTCAGTGAGCCTGTGCCGGTCCTAGGGTCCAAATCCCAAGGAATCCATCAAGGGGAGACCCAGTTCCACAAGTTCAGTTTGTGGGAGCTGGCTGTTTTTTGCCTGTTTGCTTGTTGCTGAGGGGGTAGGATAAAGGCCACCTGGTGGAATCAGCGGCTGAATGCAGAAGCACTTGTGTCTTTAAGTATGTGTTTAAAGTGGCGTCATGGCTCAAGTGGTAGAGCACTAGCCTTGATCTAAAGAGCTCAGGGACAGCGCCCAGCCTGAGTTCAAGCCCCACTGCCAATAAAAACAAAAACAAACAAAAGCTTTTAAGTGCGTGTTTAGTGGTTTATTCAAGAAAGCAGGTTTCTAAAACCCCTTAACATTGGAGGCAGATTTTGATGTGGATATTTATTTGAATATTTTTCTAGGCTAAGAAAGTATAGTTTTGTTTTGTTTTTGAAGCAGTTTATGACATAAAGAGGTCAGTGTAAGCTCTTCCATGCCCTAAACAGGACCCCTTCCACTCCTAGGAGTAGCTGAGTGGTGGTAGGTGTGGGTGGGGACACAGAAAGGGTAAAGGGAACCCATTTCTGGCTGACTCACAAACACTGTAGCTGCAGCTGCATTTGAGTTGGTGATCTGCAAACTTTTTCTGAGTAGCTGGGAATCAGGTGGGATGGAGTGGGCTTCATTTATCCATAAGGCCTCTTTTACCTGTTTGGAAGGAAATGAAGGGGTTTCTGCAGTTTTCTAAAACTTCTCTTTCCTTCTTTCCTTCCTTCCTTCTTTCTTTCTTTCCTCCGTTCCTTCCTTTGTTCCTTCCTTCCTGCCTGCCTGCCTACCTTCCTCTCTTCCTCTCTTCCTTTCTCTCTCTCTCTCTTTTCTTTCTTTGTGTGTGTGTGTGTGTGTGTGTGTGTGTGTGTGTGTGTGTCCTCAAGTTTGAACTCAGGGCCTCTGTCATCCCTAAGATATTTTTGCTCAAGGTCAACATTCTATACTTTGAGCCACAGCTCATTTCTGGCTTTTTGGTGGTTAATTGGAAATAAGAGTCTCAGACTTTCCTGCCTGTGCTCCTTTTGAACCCAGATTCTCAGATCTCAGCCTCTTGAATAGTAAAGCTTCTTTCTTAGCACTTTTTCCCCAGAATACTTCCAGAAAAAATCCCAATAGGAAAATGTCACTGAGGGCTGAATTAATGCCCCCTCCAACCAGAGGAATATGTTAGCTCAACCCTTCAGAGGGCCAAGTTCTATGTGTGTGTGTGGGGGGGGGGGGGAGAGAGAGAGAGAGAGAGGAAGAAAGAAAGAGAAAAAGAGAAAGAGGAGCGAGGCAGGGAGGCAGGGAGGCAGGGAGGCAGGCAGGGAGGGAGACAAAGATGGATTGTATTTATGTCCTAAGCCTGAGTTGGGCTCTGTCCTTCCCAAGGCAGGCTCTTTGGTTTCCAAGGCCCTGAATGTCTGATCTTGCTCCCCCTCAGGACAATCTTTACTTCCTATCAGCTAGAGGAGCTGGAGAAGGCATTCAACGAGGCTCACTACCCAGATGTCTACGCCCGGGAGATGCTGGCCATGAAAACAGAGCTGCCAGAAGACAGAATACAGGTAACCCTGAGCCCCCCTGAGACATCTCTGTCTCTAGGGTCCCAGAAACCCATGAGGCTGCCTCCTATACCTGCTGTGGACAAGAATTTGTCCGTGATGATGTCCTCAGGAAGGTTGGTTTATTTTAAGCTGACAGATGTCTGCAGGTGTCTGCTGCCCACCTTTCGAGTAAGATGGAAAGGACAAGAGGCTTAGCAGATGCCTGGCCGGCTGGTCCAGACTAGCTTCTGGAGGAGTATATCACACAAACCCTGAGAGGCCTGGTGAGGAAAGATGGAGCTCTGGGGGGGGGGGGGGGGGGGTGAGGCCCGAGCAGGGTCTCTGCCACTGTAGGTACCTGTTCTAAGGTAAGAGGTAGCCTCAGGGTGCTCTGAGTGTCTGTGAAGGGGAATGAGGCTTCTTTCCCTGACTAGGCCTATTTCCCTTTCCTCCTCTTCCCTCCCCTCTCCTCAGCTTCTACCCCATGCAGCTGCCTTGCATCTCTTTGCTCCCCTCAGAAGGCTGCTGCTGCTCCTGTCCTGAGCTTCTCCCCATGGCTTCTCCCTGGTCTGGCCTAGGATGGGGCGAAGTGTCTGGGAGTGGGCTCACCAAGGCCCTCCTCCTCTCCTGGTTCTGTGTCCTAACAAACCATTGGCCTGGACTGCCATCCTGTTGCTGTGGTTGATGCAGCAGCAGCAGGGCCTTCCCCACACCAGAAGCCTCTAGTTGAGCTAGAGAAGCATGCCCATCCCTGCCCTGAGAGAGGAAATCTGATAGCTTCAAAGCAACACTTCCATGGAGCAGAAGAAGAGAGTGGGAGGGAGGAACTATTCCAGAAGAGCTAGAGTAGTTTGAGAGCTCCAGGGGCTAGATTCCCCCTATCTCTGCTGGGCCTGGGAGTGCAGGGTGGGGTCCTAACTTTTGGGAACTCTAGGGCTTCTTTATCCTCTCCATGTGATGTATGCTGGGTGGGCAGGGAGGACTGTAGCTACAGAGGGAACTAAAGAAGGTATGTGGATTGCTTCCTACTCTCTCACTGAAGGACCAGAGAATAGAAAATAGAGCTGTGAGCTGCTTTCTCAAAAGGGCCTTCCTCTTCCTGAAAAATCTATTAGGAATTGCAACTCACAGCTTTAGACATTGACACTAACAATAAGCTCAATTATTCATAAGCAGATTACATTCGGTGCATTTACCACAGTGGCTGGAACCATCCTCCCTCACCCAGTTGGGCGCTGGGGGTTGATAATGAATTGTGTGTGCGCACATGCGCATGCACACGCAGGCGTACACACACATGCACAATGCACATGTACATATGTGGGAGGAGGGGCCTGTGGGTTGTAAACCAGGGGCTGTAAATGTATGGCAATAACCTCTGCCTTATATTCAGTAGCACTGAGTTGGCCACTGCAAGTGGCTGTGGGGCCCCCATTAACAGGCCCACACTGGCACTATTGATTATAAAAAGGAACCTCTGGTAAGCCCAGCTCAGAGAGACAAATGGTGCAGTTTTCTCTCATATGCAGAAGCTAGGTCTAAAATACACTGAGACATGATAAATTATACAGGACTGTAGGCATTCATACACAGTGAGACCAAAGGAGGATACTCAGGGGAAGAACACACAGGCTCAATGCCTAGGTGTATCTGATCCTATACAATAATATTTATTGAAGTGAACTCCAGGAAATGGAAATAAGAGGGTTTTTTTGGTTACTGTTTAAAAAAAAGAAGAAGAAAAAGAGCCAGGTACTGGTGGCTCAGCCTGTAATCTTAGCTACTCAGGAGGCTGAGATCTGAGAGTAACAGTTCAAAGCCAGCCTAGGCAAAAAAGTCCCTGTGAGACTCTTATCTCCAATTAAACACTCAAAAACCAGAAGTGGCGCTGTGGCTCAAGTGGTAGAGTGCTAGCCTTGAGCACGAAGAGACTCAGGGACAACCCCCAGGCCCTGAGTTCAAGGTCCACAACCACCCCCACCAGCAACAACAACAAAAAGAATAAGGAGAATAAGAAACCCCTAGTCCCTTGTCTCTGGCAGGGGGGAAGTCTAAAAGCAGGCTGTGGTGGTGGGAAGTGGGTGTGTGAAGGCTTCTGGGCTTAGCATTGGGGAAAGGCTGTCCTTTCCTATACTTGCATTGCCACAAATGCTCCAGCAGGCCTGAGCTGGGCTTCATTATGTTGCCTCGAAATAATTTGTAGAAAGTGCTGGAAGCCCGTCAGGACCAGCAGAGCTGGGTGGAGTAAGGGATGTTGATTCACCTGGGGCTGTGAGGGAGGGTGACAGACTTGCAGACATAGGAGAAATGGACCAAGAGGCTCTCAGACTCTTCCAGATCATGTGGCTACTAAGTGCTTCCCTTTCTGTTGTTGTTGTTGGTCGTGGGGCTTGAACTCTTGGCCTGGGTGCTGTCCCTGAGCTCTTCACCTCAAGACTAGCTCTCTACCTTTTGAGCCACAGCTCCACTTCCGGTTTTCTAGTGGTTTATTGCAGATAGAAGTCTCATGGTCTTTCTTGCCTGGCTGGCTTTGAACCATGATCCTCAGATCTCAGCCTCCTGAGTAGCTAGGATTACAGAAGTGAACCACAGGCGCCCAGCCTTAAGTGCTAGCCTCTTGAAGGGGTTGGGGAATGCTCAGCTGGCCCTGCCCAGATTCAGTTTACCTAGTGGCCTGGGAAAGGTCATAGTATGCACGAGGAAAAATCCCAGCTATAATTTCCAAAGCGTGTGCCAGGTGTTCTAAGCATACCACGTTCACAGGAAAGGCACGGTGCTATGGTTTTGGGGGACACTGGCCCTGGGCTCACAGCTGGGCATCCACCCCTGCTAGTCCTCATGGGCTCAATGGGAAAGAGTAGCACCTCACAGAGATAAAAAGTGAACTGTGAGTGAACTGTGTCCTGAGCAGTGCAGGCTCAATCAGGTTCCACCCTGACTTCCTTAAATCCTGGTGACAGCAGATAGAGACCGGGCCTCCATTAGAACTGAGGGAGTAGAGCCCAGCAGCCTGCCCAAGGTTGTATAGCTACTACGCGAGGGACACAGACTGGAATCAAGGCTGAATCTGAAGCCCATCCTTCCACCACTGGCCTTGTGGGTTTGAAGCTGGCTTTGACATGAAGCTGGAAGGAGAGAAGTGGATTGAAGTCAGGAAAGGGTCCTGCTTCACAGTGTCTTTATCACAATGGTCAAGGCTAACAGAGTTTTGGGCACTGTGGGGGAAAAAAAGAAAGGAAAGGAAAGGAAAGGGGGAAAAGAAGAAAAGAAAAATGCTCATAGGCTAGGGATGTAGCTCAGTGGTAGAGTGTTTGCATAGCTGTACAAGGCCCTGCGATTTGATTTCCAGAAATAAATAAATAAATAACACCTCAAGTTCACTTGTAGCAAAACTTCTATGTTTTTGCCTCTTAAGTGGCTTTTTTTTTTGGTACTGGAGCTTTAACTCTGGGCCTAGATGTTGTCCCTTAGAGTTTTTGCTCAAGGCTAGTGCTCTACCACTTAAACGTAGTTCCACTTTTGACAGGTTCATTGGAGATAAGAGTCTCTTGGATTTTCCTACCTGAGCTGGCTTTGAATCGCCACCCTCAGACCTCAGCCCCCTGAGTAGTTAGAATTAAAGGTATGCCTGGCCAAAGCTATTTTTTTTCCAATGGGCAAATTTATGTACATGAGTGAAAACTGAATCCTGCCCCTCAGCAGCCCTCACGTGTTAATCAGTGACTTTTATTTGTCTGTCATGGAGCATGAACTCTGGGCCTGGGTGCTGTCCCTCAGCTCTTCAGCTCAAGGCTAGCACTCTACCACTTGAGCCACAGCGCCACTTCCGGCTTTTTCTGCTTATGTGTTGCTGAGGAATCGAACCCAGGGCCTCATGCATGCAAGGCAAGCACTCTACATCTGAGCCATCTCCCCAGCCCTCCTAATCAGTGACTTTTGTGTCCTTCTAGAACTAGTTCAGGGACACTCAGCAGAGCTCTCAGAACACAGGATGTAGGAAGTATTCCTCCCAAGTTACAGAGATGCACCTGTGGCAGAGGCTTCTGCTCGGACCCACGTGCTCTGAGTGCTCCTTGCTCATCAACATTTCCCCTCAGCGTGGAACCAATGCATCTTAAAGTGGACAGCTACCATTCCAGTGCTTGTTGCCAGCCTGCCTGCCCCAGATTTTGGGTCAGATATATGCGTGTGTGTGGTTTGTGTGTGTTGAGATGGAAAAGAGGAATCATTAGTGGTGGTGAAATGGAAAGGTTTTGTGTTTTTGTAGTACTGGGGATTGAACCAGGTCCTCTCCCATGCCTGGTAACTGCTCTACCATGGAGCTATACTGGAATCATGATCGGATGGGATCTCAAGGAAGTGAATCTGAGATCTACATCTGGCCTGAGATCATGAATGTGGCAGGAGTCAGGCCATTTCTCATGTCTGGGCCTAAAGAAAGGCAGAATGAACTTTATAAGGTCACTTCACCAGGCCCAGCCTGGGGCTGCCATTGTTGGAATGGGGCATAGGTCAGGTGGAGTTTAACCATGCTGAGCCACATAGCCATGCTAGGCCAAGCCAAGCCTTGGAATCCCCTAGGTATATCTGAGGCCTGCTTTCCCAAGTCTAAGGACCACCCACAGTGATTACATGAAGGCCAGCCACACCTACTTCCCATCTTTGTTTCACAGCCAGGGAGTCAAATTGAACCCTTAGTGACTCATTTGTAAAATAATAATAATAGTAACAACAACAACATTATTTTTCTGAATTGCTTATAATGCCTTTATAAAGGTATTATAAGCTAGGCACTCGTGATTCACACCTGCAATCTCCAATTGACCACCCAAAAAATAAAAATGGAGCGGTGTGGCTCCAATGGTAGAGGGCTAGCCTTGAGTGAAAAGCAAGCAAGAACATACACAATAACTAAAAAGTTATTGTGAGAACTATCCCAGGTATCAATTGCCTTCCAGCTAGACAGGCCTTCATCTCATGCCCATTTTTTGGATAAGGAAACTAAGGAGTCGAGAGGCAAA